TGGAGCCAGCAGCTAGTGGACGTAGTGATACTTCAGGTTTTTGACACTTCCGGGTTGGCTTCATTTTTCAGGGCCGGTTGCTACGTCCATCTTTTATACAGTCTATGATATAAACAGTAAATGTACCCTTCTTTGACGGAGCTCGCTTGGCTTTTTCTTTAGCAACCTCAACATCTAGGAAAGAAAATAAAAGACCTCTGTGAATATCATGAATATGGAATCACTCATAACAAAGTATGTTACGGACATAAAGCTTAGAGATCAGATGATGTCAGAGGGAGGAAAGTCTCTGTACCTTTCTGAACAGGTTTGGGCTTTGGTTTTGAAACTTCAGCTTCTACAGAGAAATATATGACTTTCATTTTGTTATCATTAAACTTCACATGCATCATTTACAAAACGCTCCTGGATGAAGCCTACCTTTCTTTTTAGGGGTCGGTTTTTCCTTTTCCTTCACCGCCTCGATATCTGTGGGATCAACATAAAGTCAGTGTGCAAATTGTAACAGTCACAGCTGGTTAATAAACGAACAGCTGCTGATAATAAATTAGTAAATTAATTACTCTTGGTACTCTTTACACCCTAATGTGGGCACCATTTTAGATTTTGTTGTTGATGTCAGTTGACTGTCCGATTACATTCATATAAATATGTATATTCTAATTAAGACAGTCACCAAAGTAAGTTCTTGCATTACCTGGTTTTACAGGTTTACGTTTGAGTTTTTGCTTTGGTTCCCTCTTGGGCGGATGGGGAGCTGCCACTGGTGGGAAATTATGACATCAAAACGCCCTTAAGTTTTATGTAAAGATGACTGTTTATTATGTGACACTTTCTGGCAATACATTGCTTTTTATGTGACCTACACATAAAAAGTCTGTGTCACCAAACAACACATTGGCATGATATGTGGCTGACTTTGATTGTTTAATGGGCTGATTGAAAGCTGTTGAGACATTCGGTCATAAAGCATCTAAATGCTCTCCAACAACAAATTTAATTTTTACAAATGAGCTGATAATTCATACAACAATATAAGCACGCTCATACCTTTCTTTGCCAGTTCTAGTTTGGCCGCCACCTTAGGAACTTCAGGAACTGCTGTTGTTGTTGTGGAGAATTTAAAAATGATTAGCTCATCTTAATTTCACATTTACTTGCAAAACTGTATTATTAAAGGCATTAGGCAAAATATAACAAAGCAATATGCACACAGTCGATGGTATGAGTAAAGGATGAAACCTGATTGAAAGGTGATAGAGGACATCTTACTTAACATATGAGATTGATATCTATCATATTGTTTTGCTTTGAACATCCTGAGAAGGTCATGCATTTATGCATTTTAACTATCACTGTATTCACTTGTTATTATTTTAACTGGCACTGTTATCTATCATTTATTTAACAGTGATACAACAACAGCTAAATAATATTCTTTCACAGTCAGCAGCTTCCCTCTAAACACAACATTTTGATTTGTGATATTTATATTCAGTAATTGTAGGTGACATTCACACACTGCAGCTCTAAGTTCATGTATGAGTCCAAAGTGAGCGGCCAGCTACCTGTTTTTGTCACATTCTTATGTTCTTTTTTCAGGACAGGAACCATCTGCTTTCTAGCAATCGTCAGCAGCTTTGCAGGCTTCTTAGGTTCATCAGCTGAAATAGGATGGGAGAAAAATAATTCATATGGAGCTCAGGTGTTGTTGATTTTACTTGATTTAATGTGAGAATGTTGACTTATTTATCAAAGTTTAGATCTGGAGTGTTAGTTTACATTCATTTGTGCTAATTCACATCAAATCAATCCACATAACAGGTTGTTTGTCAGTGTCAGTTTATTTTGTGCCCCATCAGGACGAAGACAAAGGAGTCGTGGAAATAGAACTACTTGGTTAAGATTATGTAGCTTTTGTCATTTGAGTCCAACATGAAATTTAGAAAACGTGCTGCTGTGTTTGGCCGTCCATCAACCCCAAGCTCATCTTTAAAACTTATTGCAGCAGCACAGGAATGTTACGCTCTATGAAGTTCATGTCGGGTTATTCTCAAGACAGCAAGTAGCTGCTTTTTTAAGGAGATTTTTTAATGGTTTGTTCTCAGTCATGAACAAATTAATGACATTGTGTAACGTGATAATATCTTATTTTCATCGACTACAATTGGCATTCTTTCATTTATAGTCTTACCTGTTTTTGTAATATTAACATGTTCCTTCTTGAAGACAGATGCAACTTCCTTCTTGACTACTCTAGTTGTCTTTGCAGACTTTTTGGGTTTAGCATCTGGAATAAAAATGCAAAGCTGATTGACTAGTTGCACAAATTATACAGAGAAAATAAACATATCCTTCCTAGAATAATTAAAGCAGGTGAGTCTATTGAGCCTTTTTCCAGACTTCAGTCAGGTTTCTATTTAATTGACTAGTGCTTTCAAATATTGTACTGTAATGAAAACTGTTCATCTCAACACAAAACCATATTTTGGGGTCTGCCAGTCTCACCAGTTGGCTGGCCGGATGTCGTCTTATTACCAGTATGGGTAAGAAAAGTCACATCTTTACATTGTGGTAAAACTGTTGCTGGTCCACACATACCTGTCTTGGTGACCTTCTTTTCCATTGGTTCTTTGTCTTCTTTGGCAATTGTCTTGATTTCTTTCTCCTTTTTAGGAGGCCTCATCGGTTTCTTTCCTTCTTTGGAAATCTTCTCTTTTTTTGGTTCTTTCTCTTTTTTGGCTTCTTTCATAGATTTCTTCTCCTCTTTCTCTTTTTTGGGAACATCCTTTTCTTTTTTGTCTTCTTTGGGAGGTTTCTTGACTTCCTTCTCTTCTTTGAGAGGTTTCTTCTCCTCCTTGTCTTTTTTGGGAGCTTTCTTTTCTTCTTTGTCCTCTTTTAGGGGTTTCTTAATTTCTTTCTCCTCCTTGGAAGGTTTCTTCATTGCCCTCTCTTCTTTGGGAGTCTTCTTTTCTTTGTCTTCTTTGAGAAGTTTCTTTTCATGTTTGTCTTCTTTGTGGGGTTTCTTGACTTCCTTCTCTTCTTTGGAAGGTTTCTT